TTATAATCTGGATCTACTTTACTACTTCCTCTCTGACTTTGGAGAAATTATCGAATCCCTCTGTGCCTCATTTTTCCCATGTCCAAGGTGGGGATGATGATAATTGCATCATGAAGTTGGTATGATGGTTGTCTTAGTTATCTAGTGCTGCTACAACAGAAATACCACAAGTGGATGACTTTAACAAACAGAAATTTATTTTCTCACAGTTTAGGAGGCTAGAAGTCTGAATTTAGAGTGTCGGCTCTAGGGAAGTTTTTTTCTCTCTGTCGGCTCTGGAGGAAAGTCCTTGTCTCTTTGAACTTCTGCTCCTGGGCGATCTTCATGTTGCTTGGCATTTCTCTTCCCCCATCTCTGCTCTGCTCTCGTTTCATCTCTTTAATATCTGGAAACAAATTGACTCAAGATACACCTTACAGTAATCTGTCTCATTAGCATAACAAAGACAACCCATTCCCAAACAGGATTATAACCCATTGCTGTTGAATCAATTCCAAATCATAGACACCCTATAGGACGGAGTAGAACTGCCTCATAGAGTTTCCAAGGCTGCCACATCTTTCTCCCACGACCACAGGCATAAAGGTTAGGATATACAACACATATTTTGGGGGAACACAATTCAACCCATAACTTTCTACCCTTTGGCCCCCGAAATTCCTGTCCTTGCCACATGCAAAACACATTCACTCCACCACATCATCCCAAAAGTCTTCAATCCACTCCAAGTCCCAAATCTCATCTTCTGAATCATCTAAATCAAATATGGGTGAAATGTTAGGCATATTCCATCCTGGGGCAAAATTCCTCTTCATCTGAGAACCTGTGAAATCTAAACTACAAGTTATCTTTTTCCGGAGTACAATGGTGGAACAAGTACAAGGTAGACATTTCTATTACAAACGGGAGAAATTGGAGGGAAAGAAAGGATAACGGGCACCCAGCAAGTCCAAAACCCAGCAGAACAATTTACATTACCTTTCAAGGCTTGAAAATAATCCTCTGTTCTCTGGGACCATCTGGGCAGCAGTCCTGCCCTCCAGACTCTGGGTGTTGGTCATACTTTCTGAATTCTGAGTGGAGGCCTCTCCACCCTGGGCTCTAGTTCCACCTTCCAAGCCCTCTGAGATGGCAACTCTGCTCTCTCAGCTTTAAGTGGCCCCATTCTAGTCCATCTGAGTGGCAACCCGTCAGCCTGGCAGTCCCCGTTCTTCTACCCCCTGGTCATAGCAGTCCCACTCCCTCAGCTTTGGGCAGTGACCCCATCCCCCTGGCACAGTTAACAACAGCCCCACACTCCAGAACCGAGTTGGCAAAGATCTGATTCTTTGAAACCTAGGAAGCTGTAGCCCCATCCTTTGAGATCCAGGAGATTGTGGCCCTATCCTTTCAAACAGAGAAGTTCCTGCTTCTCTATAGCTGTCCTCACTTCCTTCTGATTCCTCACCAAACAGTTCTGCCGACCTCTGAGCTGCTCCAGGGATGGTCCTTTCCTTTTCTTGGAGGACAACAGATGTAGCTCCTTTGGCCTGTTTCCTGCCTGTAGAATTCCAAGAGGCAGACGGTGTTTCTTTCCTTTCGTTCTTTCTCTGTCCCCTTTGGTCCAAGCTGTTGGGTTTTCTGCTGTGGTAGTTGGTTAGATCCATCAGTCACAGGCTTAATCTCTTTAACAAAAGATTGTGTAGCCACATTCTTGGTGAACATTCTAGGACATGTGTCCTTAGTTTGTACAACAGAATTTTCCAAATCTTTAAGTTCTGTTTTCTCTTTCCTCTCACACTTTACTATAAGTGGCAAGGAGAAACCACACAGTGCCTTTAAGATCTTGCTTAGAAATCTCCTCAGCCAGATATCCAAGTTCATCGCTTACAAATCCTATCTTCCACCAAACATTTGAACATAATTCAGACAAGTTCTTTGCCACTGCATAAAAAGCATCACCCTTCCTCAATTGTCCAATTACATGTTCATCATTTTCTTTTAAAGCCTCCCCAGAAGCCCATTTAACATCCACATTTCTAGCAACATTCTTTTGGTGCCATATGTATTCTCTAAGATGACAGAGACTTTCTTTATAGCTGCCCTCACTTCCTTCTGAGCCTTCACCAAAATTGCCTTTGACGTCCATAATTGTACCAACAGTCTCTTTAAGGCAATCTAGGCTTTTACTATAGGTACCTTAAAACTCTTCCCACCTCTACCCATTACCAAATTCCAAAACCACTTCCACCCTGTAGGTATTTATAGAGCAGCACCCCCACGTCTCAGTACCAAATTTTATCTTAGTTATCTAGTGCTCTATAACAGAAATACCACAAGTGGATGGCTTTAGCAAACAGAAATTTATTTCCTCATTGTTCAGGAGGCTAGAAGTCCGAATTCAGGGTGCCAGTTCTAGAGAAGGTTTTCTCTCTCTGGCGGCTCTGGAAGAAGGTCCTTGTCTCTTTGAGCTTCTGCTCCTGGGCAATCTTCATGTGACTTGGCATCTCTGTTTTCCCATCTCTGCTTCCTAGCTTGCTTGTTTAAACTCTTTTATATCTCAAAAGAGATTGACGCAAGATACACCCTACACTAATCCTGTCTCATTAACAGAACAAAGACAACCCATTCCCAAATGGGATTATAACCACAGGCATAGAGGTTAGGATTTACAACACATATTTCTGGGGAACACAATTCAATCTGTAACAACGGTTAAATGAGTTGTTCTATGTAAAGCGCTTAGAAGAATACTTGGCACATAGTACATGCTATATAAGTGCTTGCTTTTATAATTACTAAATCTATAGCACCTGAATTCCATCATCTTTAAGATCCCCTCCTGCTCTAATATCCTATAAACTTTTAAATTCAATAACTGAGCAGATCCCATGTGCCTAGCACTAGCTTGAGTTTCCCACCTACAAAATAAGGGACTAGAGTTATTACTACAGCTCTAACATTCTGTAGAGCAAGAATAGATCCGCTGTGTAAAGTGCTGATGGTGGGGCTCAAAGAAAGGTGCTGATGGAGTCCTGCCCTCTAGGAACTGAAAATAGAATTCAGGAGGCCAGACTCACACATCAGCCATGCACTAGGGCAAAGGAGGCCAGTGCCCAGAGAAGGACTTAAAGTGCCCAGAAAAGGACTCCTAGCATATTTCTGTAATTTATTTGGTTGATAACCAAATTTCCTTTCATTCCAGAATAAAAAGAAGGATGCAGCCTTCTATCCCAAAATATAAAGTTTCATTTCATAATGTACACATTCCTCGATCTCAATTGTCTTTTGCATTTTCCCCATACAGACCATAAACACATTATTCTTAGGGGTAAATGGCAGGTACTTGATCTAGGTTGGAGGAAATTTTGTTAATGGTGAGAACACTGACTGCTAGAAGGGAGAAGTCAGGCAAACAGGCCACAGAGGTCAAATTACATGCCAGCTCTGTACAACTGAGAATCGTACATGGCAGAATAAGCTCTCACTTAGACCACTTTGCTATTTTCAAACATTTTAACCAACATTTCTCTGTCTGATCCTCAAATTCCTATAAGAAAGACAAGGCAGGTGGTTTTATCCTCATTTTACAGATAAGGCTCAAAGAGACTAAATGATGATTTACCCATGGTATATAGTTTGCAGTTATATGGCAGATAAGTGATGGAAACTGGTTTTCCTAACTAATCCCCCCTCTTCCTTGCCTCAAGCTCTGTCCTGGGCTTAGGAATCCCAATGGGTGTTTGGAGTGGTCACCTTCAAGTTGGGTCTTGAAGGACAAGAATGTAGGGAGTGCTGGGTCAGAGAAGGGAGCTCCTTCAGATATCTACCTTGTGGGACCTTGGATAGGGAAGGGGCTGCCTTGGGAAGAGCTGAACTGGAAGAAGGAGCTACAGGTAAGGTTGAAGGAAGGGGAGGGGGCCTCAAACGACGCCAGGTAGGCTGTCGTCTTCCCAGCTCTGGAGGAATGGCACCCCCTCTAACATCAGACGCACCCATATTCTGGGATTAACCTTCCTCCCCTTTCTGATTCCACCATTATTCTAACCCTCGAAGGGTTAAAGCAGCTTCCACTTGATTTTCCCATCTCCCAGGTAACTTGGGCGGCTGCTTCGTGCTGGAAAACGTGGGAAATAAAAGTCCCAAACAATTGCTCAGTACCTGTACCTAGCAATGCACCCCCCACCCTCAGCAGGGAAGCACAACCCTTTGGGTAAAAGGTACCCAGGGGAGGGACGCTACTAGTTGGCAGGTGGTGGGGGTGGGGCTCCCCAGAGAGCGTGGGGCCGGAGGGCAGCAGGGAGAGTGCCCTTTCCCTTGGTTGCCATCTGGGCTCTGGGTTTAGCAGGTTTGCGTCGGGGCAGGTGTCCCAGAGGGTTGGGGGAGGAGGAACGAAGTGGTGTGCGGGGAAGCAGGCCGCACACACCTGGCGCCTTGTGGAATGAAATCTTAATTAATTATTAAACTGAGTTCCCGCGGGAGGGAGCCAGGCCGTGGCAGGTTAGGCGGAATGGTAGGGTGGGGGCTGGGAGAGGGAAGAGAAGAGGTGAGGAGTGGGCTCCAGGCACGGTTCAGCTCTTGGGGACCCTGACAGGAAGGAAGCCGACCCTTGGGGTGGGGGTGGGGGGTGCGGCGGGGGGTAATAGCCGTGAGAGGGTGGGTTTGCTGGCGCTCTTGGGAACCCCTGGGGTGGGGGTGGGAGGAGAGTGCTGGAGGATGCTGGACAGGAGTGGAGGGAAGTGGGGGCGGGTTGGAAGGCCCCCTTCCCCCGGGGTCTTGATCCCAGAACAGTAGCCGCTTGTTTTCCCAAGACTAGGGGAGGGAGCGGCCGTAGGAGAGGAGGGGGCGGGCGGAGGGAGGGGTCCCATTCTTTGGTCTCCTCCACCCCTACTCGGTTCCTCGGAAGGGGAGTGAACCACTGGGCCCCCGCTTCTGCGGAGGGGGAGGAGGTGCCCAGACAAAAGGAGCTTGTGCCTTTAAGGCGGGGAGTCCGGGAGCCGGCGGGGAGGGGACTTCTGGATCCGGGGTAGAGGGCGGCTGCGCTGGACAACAAGGGAGGGGGCGAGGGCCGGCCGGCCGGACGGACGGCGGGAGGGACCGCCGGGACGCGCGGGCATCGAGAAGGACCGCGGGGCGGCCGGCCGGCGGGCCGGCGCCCGCGGGGGCGGCGGGGCAGGGGCCCGGGGGAGGCGCGGACCCCGGGAGGCAGGTGAGACCGCGGGAGGACTGCTGAGGAAAGTGGCTGCGCTGGGCACTCGGGTCTCTGTGGGGTTGGAAGACACCCGCGCGGTACCCGCGAGTTTTTTTGGTGGGTGGGTGGGGGCACCAAGGCCTGGGATGGGTAGCCTCGAGAGTGTTTGGGGGCAGCCTGAGACAATTGGGGTTGGCAGAGGGAAGTCATAGAGGAGGTGGGGGTGGGGAGTGGGGGGTCCAGGAGTCCTAGGTCCGGGACTCAAGGCTCTCCACCCTCCTTCCCTGCCACTCGCTTCCCTTCCTCCACCCGCTCCGAGTTCCCTGCTAGCCCAGAGGAGGGGGAAAGGCATGTGCTGGGGGAAGGGCTGTCTTGAGGTTTATGCAGCCGGGCTAGGGGGTGAGCCTCCAAGTTTGGGCTATAGTGTGATTGTGCTTAGCGGAGAAGGAGGCAGCCAGGGCAGAGAGAGAGATGCCCTCTGCCTGCAGGAACCCCCCTCCTATCCCCTTACCCCAAAGCCTCGGAATGAAAGGGGTGGTGTCAGCTTTCCCCCTCCCCCAGGGCCTGTTGCTGGGTGGGCTGGGGGGAGCAGACTTTATTCAGAGCTGGCTCTGCCCCTGACTGAAAAGCTAGAGGTGAAATCAGGCAATGATTGACCCTTTCTCCATGTCCTCCTTTTACCAAGAGTACCCCTGTGCGTTGGAGGAACCTGGCGCAGGGCTGTGTAGTTGAGGGTTTTGGTGGGAGCCCTTTGCAGTCTTTAGGGAGACCAAGGGCTGGGAAGAGAGGAAAAGGCGGCACTGGACCTACAGATACACTGAGGAGGCTCCTCTACATCTGGAAAGGCCCAGAGTTGAGGCCCACGTCCCAGCGTGGTGGGTGGTGCTGGCACCGAAGGGCCTCGCCTTGGCAGCGCCTTTTGCCATGAACTTTCTGAAGTCGTTTTAAATCCCCTGGGGCCTCCTTTTGCCAAGGAGGGCAGGGGCAAACGGGCCCTGTGGATGGGACAACGGGAGGTGGTCAGGAAGAGGGTTTGGGCAAAGGCACTGGGTAGAGCCATTCTTGGGGCTGGGCCTTGGCCTCCTCCAGACTCTGAGCCTCCTGCTGAAGGAGCAGGGTTTCGGAGGAACTTGAGGTCTGCGTGGCCCTGGGCTGGGACTGCCAGGCTGAAGGGGACATTGCTCCAGCTGTGGGAGACGGGCCTGGAGCAGCAGATCTGTGAGAGAGAGCAAAGAGACCAGGGCCCAGGGGAGGAGGAGGTCAGAAGCAGTTCAGGAGCATTATTTCTGGGCAAGGGGAAGGTGGGATGCAGTCCTGGGGTTCATAATGATGGATTCCTGGGTAATGGAGTCTGGGGGAGGTTTTTTGACTCTGAACTGTGCCCTCCCCTTTTCCCTGCCATTCTAGCCTGGCATGGGGTGCCAGGAGTGCTGGGAGCCCAGCAGGTTTCCAGGATGGGATGGTTGCAGTGGGTTGGGCAGTTCCAGAGCCTTGAAGCTATCTATCCCTTTGGGGTTCGGAGTGTTCTTAGAAGGGTCATGCATTTCCCTGGACATTGTCTGCCCCTTCCTCTGAGGGTATGAACCAGATGCTAGGATGTGCTTCCAGGGGGCTGGGAATATGGCCAGAAACAGGTCCTTTGAGAACAGAGGTCTGAGCCAGTGGAGGGGGGTGGTGTTGTAGAGACAAGGCAGGGCGCTCGAGAATGGGAAGATGCTGAAGCAGAATGTCATGGGAGGGTGGGGGTGAGAAACTCGCTCTGGGCTCTGTCCCCAGCAGCTCTGGGGACTGACAGCAAGGACACAGGGACTGATAGAACCAGCATCTGACTGGCTGGGGAAACACGTATTCTTGCTCATGACTTTCCCATCTTTCCATTTCTTGAAAACTGGCAGAGGTTCGGTTGGAAATGATGTAGGGTGGGGAGAAGAATTAATATTTATTGAGTGCATACTACGTGACAGGCCCTGTTTGGACTCGTAGCGACCCTATAGGACAGAGTAGAACTGCCCCATAGGGTTTCCAAGGAGCGGCTGGTGGATTTGAACTGCTGACCTTTCGGTTAGCAGCCGTAGCTCTTAACTGCTGCACCGCCAGGGCTACTCACAACCATTATCCCCATTTTACAGATGAAGAAAATGACTCAGGCCGGTTGAGTAACTTGTGCAAGATCGTGCAGCTAGCAAATAATCACGCTAAGGCTTGAAACCTGGTCTTCTTCTGAAGCTTATGCTTCTAATGAAGTATTTTGAAGAGCCAGGCCTTTTTTGGTGACCTTTTCCAAATGCCAGCCCGACCAAACGTTTTGGATTCCTGATCTGTTCCTCCATGTATCTGAGAAGGATGGAGGCTGATGATAATGTTGAGGGGTTGAAGGGCATGCTAGGTTATGGGGTATAGGAGAAGAGAACTTGGGGTATAGCTGAGAAAACTTGGCTAAGGGTCACCCAGGGATGGGGGTTTCAGGGTGTACAGAAAGGTCTCAGCCTGGCTGCTGCTTTGTGGGCCCCTGGATGTCTGCTTGGAGTGTGACTCGAGCAGTCTGGTCCTGTGGCCACCTGGGGGTAAGCACGAGGTCCTTTCCCCTCTCAACCCCTAGTGAGTACAAATGTCATTGCTGCTAGCTCAGCAGGTTTAAGCATGAGGGGCCCCTCAGGGTGCCCTGCAAGCCTGGAGGAGCTCAGCCCTGGCGGCGACATATGCATCTGTGCATCACAGTGCTCTCATCCCTACCTTCTTCTGACCTGGCTGGCCTCAGCTGGGAGACTCCATTGAAGGTATTGTCATGAGTCCTCCCACCCCAGTTAGAGACACTGCCCACCAGGAAACGTGAGGTCTGGGACTGGTTTAGGTACCCGTGATTTCTGTAACTTGGGCCAGCGATACAAAACTGCCATGGATCTCAGTTTTGTTGTGTGTCAGATTTATCCTATATTAGCTTCACAGGGTTTTGGCAAGGATCAGATGGAGTTAGGCATGTGAAAGAACCCTGAAAAGTTCAAAGCACAGAGAAAGTGCATGGGAGTATTAACCATCCATCCATTCGTCTACTCAACGAACATTTATTTAGATCTTACTAGGGAGCTCTGGTGGCGTAGTGGTTAAGAGCTACAGCTGCTAACCAAAACGTCAGCAGTTCGAATCCACCAGCTGCTCCTTGGAAACGCTATGGGGCAGTTCTACTCTGTCCTATAGGGTCGCTGTTTGTCGGAATCAACTCGACGGCAGTGGGTTTGGTTTTTGGGTTTAGGTGTTGCAGGGAGTCCCTGGGTGATCCAGATGGTTGATTGCTGGACTGCTAACGTAACGTTGGTGTTTTGAATCCACCCAGAGGCGCCTCAGAAAAAAGGCCTAGTGATCTGCTTCCAAAAGGTCACACAGCCTTGGGAACCCCATGGAGCACAGTTCTACTCTGCAACACATGGGGCTGCTGTGAATCGGAATCAGCTTGCTAGCAGCTGGTTTGGTTTTGGCTTAAGTGTTGCAGATGCAGCAGTGAGCAAAACAGGCAAAATTTCTTGCCCTCATGCAGTTGACGTTCCAGTTAGGAGAGACATACAACGAACAAATAAGTAAAATATATAGAATAACAGTTGTGATAAGAGCTGTGGGGAAGAATAGAGCATAAGCTGGAGAAAGAGATAGGGAGCCCCAGGAAAGGGGGTTGCTATTTTAACAGGGGCAGTCAGGGGAAACCTCACTGATGAGAGGGCATTTGAGCTGTGACCTGGGAGAGGTAAGGGAGCGAGCCTGCAGCTCTTATTCCAGGCAGAGGGAGCAGCTGACACGTGCATGGTGTGCTGAGGAGCAGCAAAGAGGCTAATATGACTGAGTGCAGTGAGAAAGATAAAGAGTCATAGGATTATTATTAGTATTATTTCACATTAGCTGCTCTATACCAACGCCCTTGAGCTTTCTTTTCTTTTAACATGTATTTATTTAGTGCCTACTATGAGCCAAAGGTCCCTGGGTGGCACAAACGGTTTACACTTGACTACTAACCTAAAGGAGCCTTGGTGGCACAGTGATTAAGTGTTTGGCTGCTGACCAAAAGGTCGGCAGTTTGAATCCACCAGCTGCTCCTTGGAAACCCTATGGGGCAGGTTCTATTCTGTCCTATAGAGGTGAACCCACCCAGCAACACTATGGAAGAAAGGCCGGTGATTTGCTTCTGTAAAGATTACAGCCAAGAAAATCCTGTGGAGCAGTTCTCTGTAACACATGGGGTGGCCATCGGTCGGAATTGACTCAATGGCAATGGGTTTGGTTTTTTGGTTTTACTGAGCCAGGCACAGTAGTTGGTGCTAGGGATTAAAGAGCTCAACAAAATAGATGTAATCCTTTACCTTCACAAAGCTCACTGTCGTGGGGTGGAGATGCACATTAAGCAAGGAATTACTTGATTATAATTGTGAGAGGTACTTTGGAAGAAATGTACAGAGGGTAAAACGGGACCAAAGTTGTTTTGCTTAGGGGAGTGGGGAAAATTTCCCTGAGGAAGTGACATTTAAGCTGTGACCTGAGGGAGAAGTTGACTTTAGCTTGGTGAAGTATGTGTGTGAGATGGGGAAGGATGTGGAAAGATTCCCTTTTGTGCAGAGGTCCCTGACTGGAAGCTCAAAGGCTAAATTCATTCTGCGGACCTGACTTAATTGGCCTAAAGTGCTAAAGAAAAATGTGAGTTAGTTACCAACACTTACAAATCAGGAGGTAGCATGTTAAAATCTAGAATTTTTTTCAGCTCTTGAAAAATTAGAAGACCAGACCCCCATGGGACGCCAGTGTCAACAACCTGCAGGTGCTGCGTGGTGTTTGCCCTACTGCTCAGGATGTGAATGCTTTAGTTCTTCCCAGTTCTCCTGAACTTTACATGGGCCGCTTCACTCACTGACACAGGTGCTTGAGTTGTGACACACACACACCCCCACCCCACCCCCAGAAATCAGTGATTTTTAGGGAAACGGTGAATTTCTAATGACTTTGGAGTCACACAGATCTGGGTTGGAATCTTGGTCCTCCCACTTTTGCGGCTGCTTCATCTTGGACAAGTTACTTCACCTCCTTATGTCTCAGGTTCCTCACCTGTTGATTGGAGACAACGTCATCTATCTGAGAGTAGTTCTTTGAGGATAACGTGTATGAAGCACTTAGCTTGGCAATAGGAAGTGCTCAGTTAATGATAGCTGCTGGTGGTGGCAGTGGCCTCGATGGTGATATTAATACCATCTCCTTCCTTTCCTCCCAGCAGCATGTCGTGGTTTAGTGGCCTCCTGGTCCCCAAAGTGGATGAACGGAAAACAGCCTGGGGTGAACGCAACGGGCAAAAGCGTCCGCGCCGTGGGACACGGACCAGTGGCTTCTGCACCCCCCACTATATGAGCTGCCTCCAGGATGCAGAGCCTCCCAGCCCCACCCCTGCAGCTCCCCTTCGGTGCCCCTGGCAGGATGAAGGCTTCATCCGCAGGGGTGGCCCAGGCAAGAGCACAGAGCAGGGGCTGCGGGCAGTGGCCCTGGGCTTTGAGGACACAGAAGCGACAGTGGTGGTAGGGGTGGCTGAGCTGGCTCCCAATGTGGTGCCCAGGGGCAGGCGATCCTGCTGGCGCCGTCTGGCGCAGGTGTTCCAGTCAAAGCAGTTCCGCTCTGCCAAGCTGGAGCGCCTGTACCAGCGGTACTTCTTCCAGATGAACCAGAGCAGCCTGACACTGCTGATGGCAGTGCTGGTGCTGCTCACAGCTGTGCTGCTGGCCTTCCATGCCGCGCCTGCCCGCCCTCAGCCTGCCTATGTGGCCCTGCTGGCCTGTGCTGCCACCCTCTTTGTAGCGCTCATGGTGGTGTGTAACCGACATAGCTTTCGCCAGGACTCCATGTGGGTGGTGAGCTATGTGGTGCTGGGCATCCTGGCGGCTGTGCAGGTTGGGGGGGCCCTGGCAGCCACCCCTCATAGCCCCTCTGTAGGCCTCTGGTGCCCTGTGTTCTTTGTCTACATCACCTACACGCTCCTCCCCATCCGCATGAGGGCAGCCGTCTTCAGTGGCCTGGGTCTCTCCACCCTGCATTTGATCTTGGCCTGGCAACTTAACCGTGGAGATGCCTTCCTCTGGAAGCAGGTGGGTGGTAAGGAAGGTAGGCATGGGGAGCAGCAGACCAGGGATGAGAAGGGGTCTAGTAATAGAGGGGTGTGTGAGTCATGGGGATACGGGTCTTGGGTGGAGACTGGGTTTGGGATGTCTAGCGATATCTGGAAGGAGGGTCAAGAGCTGGAGGCCCAGTGTTAGGAGTTGGCCTCCATTAGGGATCTGGGGCCGAGGGTGCTGCTGGAGGGAGGGAGGGCCCTAGGAATTTGACTACCAGGACCCAAGCCTATACTCTGTCGCCATGGGCCATAGTCTTTGGCTTAAGACCCCTGAACTAGTGCAGCCTATAGAGATATAAGGCTGGAGGTGCGGTGCAGTGCCCGTGGGGCTTAGCCCCAGGGCCAGGGACGCCTGAGAGGACAGTGCAGGCTGTGTCTAGACCTTGGCATCTCTGGCCCTGCATTGACATCTGAGACTGAGGCCCTGGTGCCATCCCTGAAAAGCAGCTCAAGGTGGTGATCGAGAGGGATCGAGCAGGCTTGGATGGAGTTGACAAGGGAGGAGGTGTCTCTCCCCTGGACCAAGGCCATCTCTGAGAGGACAGGGAAGGAAGAGCTGGGGTCAGTTCTCTCCTGAGGCTGGGCATGGTTTGAGTGGGGTTGGACTGTAGAAGAGAGAGGCATTGAGGGTCTGATCTTATCCTTCTCTTCCCATCCTGGGCACCAGGGACCTGGCAGCCCTGCCTTGATGTTCTGTGCTCGAGCTGGCTACTTCCTTGGGGTTCCCTGTGGTGTGTGAGGTGGGGCTTATGTGGAGGGAGAAATAAGGGCTTGGTGCAGGCTGACTTGGTTGTCAAATGGGTTGCATTCTTCGCTGTGGGATCTTAGACAACTAGCCTCACCTCTTGGAGCCATAGTTTCCCCAGTCTGTAAAACTGGGATAAAAAATAATTTTTACCTCAAGATGTTGCTGTTAGGGACTCACCCTTTCCCAGAGTGGCATGGAAGCCCACAGAGCAGTGTTCTCACCTGGGGCCAGGGAGCGCTGTAGGGTTTGGTATCCAGTGAGGGGGCTTCTGGGAAGTGGAGCCTGCCATCTCATTAGGGGCGATGGAGCATGGGCTGAGATGCCGTTGGTCCGTACGGGGAGCAGAAACTAGGGTGTCTTCCCCAGCTGGTCCTTCGGAGGCTGCTGTGGGCACAGTTCCCTAACCAGCATACCTCACGGCTGTCCATCTGCACCCTGAGTTAGAGGGGGCCGGCCTGTGCTTTGCTCAGAGTTCGAGGGAGCGTTTCCCAGGGCTTGTGGTCTGCAGCCCACCCTAGCCCCAACCACAAAGGGGAAGTTGCCTGGGGCTCCCAGGGTGAGAAGTTGGGTACCTTGGCATTATGCCCTCCCCCGCTGTGCCTGTGCTCCAGAACAGACCGTACCTTTTTAAAAGTAACTTTATAGCCCGTTTGCTTGTGGAGCACATGCCCACAGGGTACTGTCAGACCTCGTAAAGGGCCAGAGTTCCTTGGCTCTTGCTAGCCCCCCAGCTCATTTTCCAGATTAGCTATCCCTCTGGGCTTTGGGGTAGGCTGCCCTCCTGGGGTGCCTCCACTCCCCCTTCCTCTCGGGCCGGCCAGGGTGTGGGTGGGTGTCTCTTGCCTGCTCTCAGCTGGTGTGGCGCCCAGAGCCGGGCCAGCGCCTGATTGGGGAGGTACTGCCCCACAGAGGCAGGACTGTGCCAGCTGCCTGCCTCCCTAGGGGTGCCCATCTGCAGCCTCACCCAGTGGGTCTCAGGAGGCACATTCTTAGGTTGGGTGGGTAAGTCCCTCCTCCCCCTGGGCCAGTCCCTGGGCCAGGGCTGCCTATACCCTTCCCCTGAGCTGAGAACGACTGAACGATCCCTGTACCCAGGTGGGCCTGTGGATTTCTGGATGGGCAAGCCCCTCCCAGATCCAGTCCCACTCTGGAAAGGAGCTTTCCTTCCCTTCTGACCCACTCCTTCAGACACTGAGCAGTTTCACCCAGTTTCACCAGCCTGGAGTCTCCTCCAATCCCGTGGCATCCATTTTTTCTCACAGTCAGATAGGGGTGTGTGTGTGTACAGAGTTATTTCAGTCTCTCGTCCCCCTTCCCCTTCCCTCCACTGTGACTCACATTTTCCTCTTGGGCTCCTGGGGCCAGGAAGGGAAGCTGCCTGGTTTGCCCCCCCTTTCCTTCTCCCCCACTGGGGGCTATTCTTAGAAACCCCCAAGGGAGATAGTGTGTTCCCCTCTTCACCCCTGCTATTGTGGGGGCGGGAGGGGGTGGTGGGAAGAGCAGAGAGCTCGACCCAGTCGGTGGGCTTGGGAGCTGAACTGGCAAGGAATGCTGGGAGCCAATCCTAGGGATCAGAGCTGGAAGAGGCTAGGGGCTTAGCCAGACCCACCACTCCAGTTCACCCAAGAGGAAACTGAGGTCCCAGGGATTAAGTGACCTGCCCAAGTTTGCAGGACAAGTTCTGGTTCCGGGCAGAGCCCGGAACTCCTGGCTTCCAGTTGGTGCTCTTTCCCTCCCTTCTCAAACCAGAACCCTGCCCCAGCCAACTCTCCAGAGTGCCAGGTTAACCCCTAAGTTTCCACAAACGCTGAAGCCACCTTCTCTTAGACTTGCTCTTCAGCCAGCGCTACTGGTGATGATTGGGGCTGTATAGCCTTAGAATGAGGGCCCTAGGGGGTGGGGCCTGGTGGGAAGAGACATGGGGGAGTTCTGACTCAGGGATGGCCTGGCATGGTGACTCTCCATCCCCGGTTAGATAGGGTTCTTTGTGTCAGTAGAATTGATGACTCCCAAGCCTGGGCCCTGAGCCCTGAGCCTTAAGAGCTCTGGGTGAATAGAATGAGTAGGAATCTTGGAAACTTGGAATGTACTAGACGGTAGGGTTAGGACACAGGCCTTGGGGTCTGGCTGTCCTGGACTCAAATCCCACGCCAGGTGCTTCGAGCTGTGTAATCATGGGCAAGTTATTTAGCTTCTCTCTGCCTGGTCCCTTACCTTTAAAATGGAGTATTATTACCCATCTCATAGAATTGTAAGGAATAAATTAGTTAGCGTATAGAAGACCCCCGGAGAATCCTGCAATATTGTAGGCAGTCAACAAACTAGCCACAGTGATAATAATAATAATAATGGTAATTATTATTGTCAATTATGTCAAGGTAGGGAGAGACTTTAGAGATTTTATTCCCCCTCTTCAGGTTATAGATGAGCAAATGGAGGCCCAGAGAGATGAGGTCACTTGTCTGGGTCACTCACAGGAAGATTAGAGCTCAGATCTCCTGGGTATTATCCTGTAAGGGGAACCGCATGCAAAAGGAACAGCATTTGTCTTTTGTTTGGGGTGTTTGTGGGGCTGAGCCCTTTGACCTACCTGGCCCTAGTTGGTGCTTCTGCTCCCAGGAGCTTTGAAAAGATCTCATTTCTAGCCATGGAGTAATTCAAGTCAGGGTTGGGGACTGGAGTCGTGTGAGGAGTGGGGGCCATGTACTGCAGGGGTGGGGAGCAGCTCGGGGACAGACAGGGCACAGGACCCCAGCTTCCTCCCCAAAGGAGCTTCCACAGGGAGCCTGGCAAGTGGTTTGGGGGGATGGTCACCTACCTGCCTCTGTCACCGTCTTGCAGCTCGGTGCCAACATGCTGCTGTTCCTCTGCACCAACGTCATTGGCATCTGCACACACTACCCGGCTGAGGTGTCTCAGCGCCAGGCCTTTCAGGAGACCCGCGGCTACATCCAGGCCCGGTTGCACTTGCAGCATGAGAATCGGCAGCAGGTGGGGCTGCTCTCCCCAACCAGGGCCTCTCTCAACTGCAGCCTGAAAGAACTTTCAGAGCAGATTCACTGCCTTGTACAATCCATGGGGTACAGTGTAGATGTTCCCCTGGGTTGTGCATCACAGAGGCCCGTGACATGGGGACTCCTGTCCAGTCCGAGGGTGGAGGGAGGTGGGTTGAAGGTGGTTAGAGCTGGGGTGTGTATCTGCTGAGGGTTTTCATAGGGCAGGGGCAGGCCACAGTCCAGAAGGAATGCTCAGGCCTCCAGAGAGGTCTGGGAGGGCCATGAGGATGTGGAGGGACCAGAGGGGTTGGGATGTGAGGTAAAGAGGAAAGTGGTGCCCTCATGGAGCCACTGGTCTAGGAGCGGCTGCTGCTGTCCGTGTTGCCCCAGCACGTTGCCATGGAGATGAAAGAAGACATCAACACAAAAAAAGAAGACATGATGTTCCACAAGATCTATATCCAGAAGCATGACAACGTCAGGTAGGGTGGGGGTAGGAGGAGGCCAGGAAGGGTGTGGAGTGTGGGAGTCTTTGAGGGGTACATGGCCCCTCCATCCTCCGCCGTCATCCCCAGCATCCTGTTTGCGGACATCGAAGGCTTCACCAGCCTGGCCTCCCAGTGCACTGCACAGGAGCTGGTCATGACCCTGAACGAGCTCTTCGCACGCTTCGACAAGCTGGCCGCGGTGAGGGTGCTGGGACTGGGGGCAGAGCAGCCTGTGGTGCGGGGGCAGACAGAGTGTGCATTGAGGATGGTGGGCTAGGCAGGCTGTAGGGGCAAAAATAGAGGTGACTCTTTCCTCCAACTCTTGTCCCCTTCAGGAAAATCACTGCCTAAGGATCAAGATTTTAGGGGACTGCTACTACTGTGTGTCAGGGCTGCCAGAGGCCCGGGCAGACCATGCCCACTGCTGTGTAGAGATGGGGATGGACATGATCGAGGCCATCTCGTAAGCAGCACCCCACTCCCAGGCTTCCTGGAACTGTAGGTGTCCCACCCCTCCTCCCCTTTGATGTGTCCTCAGAATTTCCCCTCGGTCATGGCTCCTCCTCTGTCTTTGAGATCCATCACCAGGGAGGGGAGTGGCCCTTTCCCCCTCTCACCATCCACATATAGTCAGCCTCCTCCGTGGGGACATTCACAGGTCACTACTCCTCTCCAGCCTGTGCAGGGACTGATGTGCACCCTTAGACCCCAGCCACTTGAGTATGGGGGATCGGGGAGGATCCGGGCTGGAGAGAATGCCAGCTGGGGAAGGCTGAAGTGAGAACAGTGACACCTCTCCAGCTTAGTTCCATGAGATGCTGCTGGGCCCCTGCTGGCAAACACAGCTCTCAGACATTTGTCCTTGAGCTCCATGCAGCCTTCTGCACATGTCCAACCAAGGCTGAGCTCCTGCCCCCTGCACCTGGGTCTGTCCTTTCTGGTTTGGCTCCAGGGGGAGTTAGGGGCTGGGCTGTGGGGTGGGAGTGGGGCAGGCTATGCCAGGAGCTGAGCCAGAGCCACGTCCTCCTAGGCTGGTGCGTGAAGTGACAGGTGTGAACGTGAACATGCGCGTGGGCATCCACAGTGGGCGTGTGCACTGCGGTGTCCTTGGCCTGCGGAAATGGCAATTTGATGTGTGGTCCAATGACGTGACCCTGGCCAACCACATGGAGGCAGGGGGCCGGGCCGGGTGAGTGGGAGTGGAGGGGTCCTGGCAGTGGGGGATGGGAGCTAGGTGGGAGAGCCAAGGTCTCACCCTTCTGACCCCACACAGCCGCATCCACATCACTCGGGCCACACTGGAGTACCTGAACGGGGACTACGAGGTGGAGCTGGGCCGAGGTGGGGAACGCAACGCGTACCTCAAGGAGCAGCACATTGAGACCTTCCTCATCCTGGGTGCCAGCCAGAAGCGGGTCAGGGCCAGGGTGGGACTGGGGGAGGGAGGCAGGGGCTGGGGGAGGGTGGCAGGGAGAAGGAGAAATGGTAGGGAGGAGCAGGCAGAGGCCTTGTCTGGGCCCCTCTTCTGAGCCTGTACCCGTGCTGCCTGCACAGAAAGAGGAGAAGGCCATGTTGGCCAAGCTGCAGCGGACACGAGCCAACTCCATGGAGGGGCTGATGCCACGCTGGGTGCCTGACCGTACCTTTTCCCGAACCAAGGACTCCAAGGCTTTCCGCCAGATGGTGAGGGCCCGCAGCACTGGGACCCAGGGCCTCACTTCCTTGTCTCCCTCAACACTCTACGTCCCCTCCCCTCTTCTGCCTTCCTTGTTGAGGCTGCCATCTCCATGGATGGTGATTACAGTGTTGGGGACAGGAGGGATGCTTTCATCCTAGGGGTCCCAAGTCCCCCAGAATATATGGTGGGAAAACCCTCAGCACAGTGTGGGGAGGGGTCATAGAAGGTGGTGGTCTGCCTCTCATCTCGCACACTCTGTCCCTTTTTCCAGGGCATTGATGATTCCAGCAAAGACAAGTAAGTGGATTTTGAGGAGGGGAAAGGGAAGGGAAGAAGGTGCTTGGGCCCTGGGACAGGGCTGTGGGGAGCTAAGATCCTCTTTCCCTGGCCCTGGACGTGTTGTCTGGGAGGCAGGTGCCACAAGCCTGGCTCACACTCCCTTCCTTGGGTGCTGCCTGTGTCCTTCCCCACTCATGGGAAATGCTCCTGCATCTGGTGGAAACATTTCCCCTGCCCTCAGCCGGGGTGCTCAAGATGCCTTGAACCCCGAGGATGAGGTGGACGAGTTCCTGGGCCGTGCCATTGACGCACGCAGCATCGACCAGCTCCGCAAGGACCATGTGCGCCGGTTCTTGCTCACCTTCCAGAGAGAGGACCTTGAGAAGAAGGTTTGGGGGATACAAGGGCAGAAGGACAAGGGCTGGTGGGGGGTAGGTCCAGGCAGGGAAATTTGAGCACAGGTGATGGAGCAGGAGAGGGTTTTGGGGAATGGCAAGGGAACCACAGGGCACAGTAGGATCCATATTAATCGGGCCAACTGCTTCTCCTCCCCCTTGAGGCCCCTGGCAGTGCACTGCCCCTTGCCGTCCCTGCCTCCCCCAGGGACAACCCAGCCCCCAGCTCAGCCTCCTCTCCTTCAGTACTCGCGGAAGGTGGACCCCCGCTTTGGAGCCTATGTCGCCTGTGCCCTGTTGGTCTTCTGCTTCATCTGCTTCATCCAGCTCCTCGTCTTCCCACAGTGAGAGCCCTATTCCTCCTCTCTCTGCTTTCCTGCCCCTCCATTACTTCCCAGAATTTTTCCAAATACCCACACAAGCCCACAGTCCCTGGGCCTGCACCCCTGCCTATCCTGGGGGTGAGACAGGGATGCCCAGTCTTCCAGAGTAACATTTTTCCTGGCCCTGTTCTGCACCAGCTCAACCCTGATGCTCGGGATCTATGCCAGTACCTTCCTGCTGTTGCTGATCACTGTGCTGATCTGTGCTGTATACTCCTGTGGTTCAGTATGTAGGAGACTTCAGGGGCTGCGGGGGTGGGCAAGCTGGGTGAGCGACAGGGAGGGGTCATATGGGGAGAGGAAAGAGAAGGCCATGCCTCTCCAGTTGGGCCCATCCCTGTTAGCCTTCCCCATTGGCTGGCACTCCTCCAACCCTCCGTCTCTTGCCTGCCGCCAGCTGTTCCCTAAGGCCCTGCAACGTCTATCCCGCAACATCGTCCGCTCACGGGCACACAGCACTGCGGTTGGCATCTTTTCGGTCCTGCTTGTCTTCACCTCTGCTATCTCCAACATGGTAAAGGTCCAATGGGAATTCTCCCACCTCTATTCTGTGCCAAGCACTGCTCTGGGCACTGGAGGGTACAGAATAAGACACATTTCCCGCTCTCAGAGAGCCCACTATCCTGAAGGAAGGGGTAGGATCAGTTGTCCCTCCTCCTTGCTGTCCCTGTCTCTTTTGATACCTGAGTGAGAACCTTGGTCCCTGGGGGATAAGGCACCTGGGCGTGGCCCTTGTGACACTTCTCCTCCTTGGAAACCCTGATATGCGTCTCCCACTTTTGCAGTTCACCTGTAACCACACCCCCATCCGGACCTGTGCAGCCCGGATGCTGAATTTAACACCCGCCGACATCACTGCCTGCCACCTGCAGCAGCTCAATTACTCTCTGGGCCTGGATGCTCCCCTGTGTGAGGGCACCGCACCCACCTGCAGCTTCCCCGAGGTGTCCGAGCAGTGCTCAGGCAGGGGGGAGGTCCTGACCAGTACCAGTTAATGACCCCTCTGTGCCAGGCCTGGTGATGGGCACTGGGGACTCAGGAACTCACCAGAGTCCCCAACTCCAGGAGCAGCCAGGGAGCCTGGGTAGTGTAGGGACTGGGCATGGAGGGCGAAGGAAATTCAGGTTTGAGGGTCATGGAGCAGAGGTTAGGCCAGGCAGGGAAGTGCAGGGCTCCCCCTGCATGGGGCACCCTGGCCTTGGCCTTCACCCAACGCTGCCTCTGCCATCGCCCCCCAGTACTTCGTTGGGAACATGCTGCTGAGTCTCTTGGCCAGCTCTGTCTTCCTACACATCAGCAGCATTGGGAAGTTGGCCATGATCCTTGTCCTGGGGCTCATCTATTTGGTGCTGCTTCTGTTGGGTCCCCCAGCCACCATCTTTGACAACTATGACCTACTGCTTGGCGTTCATGGCTTGTGAGTCTGTTCTCATCCCCTTTAATCCCCCAGGGCCTCCCTGACCTGCTGGGTCACTGTGAGCCTTTCTGGTGCCCAGGCCCCATGCCCTTGGCATGCCACTGCTCACCCTCACATCACCCCAAACAGTGTCCCCAAGGAAGCCCCAGTCCTGGGAAATTCCTGTATCTTTAGACTAGAATTGAAAAAAAATTCCCTCTCACATTTGCATGGTACTTTCATATCCACTGTCTTAACCACCTGTAAGTCACACAGCTGATTGATGGCAGAACCCTGGGTAGGAACCAAAACTCTTGACTCCTGCTTGAGGTCTTTGCCTGGGACAGCACATGGGCTTTTTCTTCAAAACCCCACCCCTTTGATGTGTGCTTGGCGTGGTAGAAAAGGCCTCTGAAGTCTCCCAGGTTTGAATTCCTGCTCAGGCTCACATTAGCTGTGTGACCTTGGACAGGTGAGGTAACCTCTCTGAGCCTCAGTTTCCTCATCTGTAAAATGGCAATACCACCCCTTTACAGGGTAGTTGTAAAGAGTGTAGTAACTGACATTTATCAAAGGCACTTCAGTAGGCATGTGCAAGGCATTGGGTTAAGCTTTTTACACACATTTAGATCTGATTCCTGTTTTACTGATGAGGAAACAGCCTTAGGAGAGTTAGGCAACTTGACCCAGGTCACATAGCTTGTAAGTAGAGGAGTCAGGAGTGGAACCTTCTCTTAACCTTTGCTCTTAATGAGTTAATATAAGTCCTGGCCCAGTGCCTCCCTTATGACACGTCCTCAGTAAATGCAGTCTCTTGTCTCTTCCCCCACCATTCGCCAACCAGTGACCCAGGAAACACTGATGACTTTGTCTCTTGTGTCTTCCTGCCAGGGCTTCTTCCAACGAGACCTTTGATGGGCTAGATTGGTGAGTGAGGCTCTGGGGCAGCAAGGATGGGGCTGTCACATGCCTCCTTCAAACACTGAGCATGCCTCTGCTTACCTTCAGCCCGGCTCCAGGAAGGGTGGCACTCAAGTATATGACCCCTGTGATTCTGCTGGTGTTTGCCCTGGCACTCTATCTGCATGCCCAGCAGGTGGAGTCGACTGCCCGCCTGGACTTCCTCTGGAAACTGCAGGTGATGGAGTGGGACCTTGGGGGAGCGAGGAAGGTCCTGGGGGTGGAGCCTGGGCCATACCAGAAATGCATCTCTTGCTAGCTGGCCAAGGGTCAGGCTGCCCCAAGCCCACCCTGGCTCCATGCCTGCCTCTTCTCTATGCCCATCCCAGGTCCCCTGCCCTGTCCTGTACCCGCCTGCTTCACTCCCCTGCCTGTCCTTTAGGCCTTATCTGTGTCTGTGCCTTCCTTCCTCCATGTGATTCCCTCTGATGCCCACCTGCAGGCCTTGGCCACTGCACCTACCCCTTATGAGTACTGGGCAATAGGTAATGGGTGTGGTGTCCACAGGCAACAGGGGAGAAGGAGGAGATGGAAGAGCTCCAGGCCTACAACCGGCGACTGCTGCACAACATCTTGCCCAAGGACGTGGCCGCCCACTTTCTGGCCCGTGAGCGCCGGAATGATGAACTCTACTATCAGTCGTGTGAGTGTGTGGCTGTCATGTTTGCCTCTATTGCCAACTTCTCTGAGTTCTATGTGGAGCTGGAGGCAAACAACGAGGGCGTCGAGTGCCTGCGGCTGCTCAACGAGATCATTGCAGACTTTGATGAGGTACTTGTCTAGTTGCCTGGACAAGTGGGAGTGGGGGGATTTAGAGGCTGAAGGAGTGGGGAAAACTTTGGATAGAAGGCCAGGATTGGAGGGAGTGGCTGGCAATGGAAGGAGGAAGGAAGATTGGATGAGACCCAGGGATGTGAGGGGGGCAGGAGTAAGGGTAGGTACAGTGGAGGCAGGGACAGGGAAGTCCCTGCCTGCATTTTACAGAGGCAGCAAGGGGGTCATCCTTGTTGGGGCAGGGTCACCACTGTAGGGGAGGAAAGGATATTAGGGCCTGTGGGGGCAGCATAGGTGCTAGGTGGATGTCATCAGAGAAGGCGTAGTCTGTGGACAGAGCCCATGGGGCCAAGCAAGATGGCCCTGAATAGAGAAAATGGAAGCAAATGGGGAGCTGAATCCTGGATATCGAGGTCAGGAATGGGCCATTCGCTGTTCTGGAGGGAAGTCACTTCCTCACTCTGGGACTCAGGTTCCCAGCAAGTGAGGGTTGGAGTAATAGATGCCTGATATCCCTCCTGGGTGGTGCAGACGGTTTGCGTTCAATTTCTAACTTAAACGTTGATGCTTCAAACCCACACAGTGGTGCTGTGAAAGAAAGGCCCGGATCTGCTTCTGTAAACGTTGTTGTTGTTAGTTGCTGTCGAGTTGATTCCGACTCATGGCAACCCCACGTGTGCAGAGTAGAACTGCTCCAGAGGGTTTTCAGGGCTGTGACCTTCAGAAACAGATCGCCTGTCTGCAGAGGCGCCACTGAATGGGTTTAAACTGCCAACCTTTCAGCTAGCATCGAGCACTTAACCATTTGCAGCACCCAGGTACTCCAGTCTGTAGAAATTGCAGCCAAGAAAACTCTATGGAGTAGTTTTACTCTGTAACACATGGGGTCGCCATGAGTTGGAATCAACTGGATGGCAACGGGTAATATCCTTTCTGAGATTCTGGGTTCTATGAGGGAGCTATGAATTTGATCTAAAGCTCTGTGCCCAAGTCCTGACCTGGGTTTCTGATAGCTGCCTGGTGAAGGAGACCTGTTTTCCTGGCTCCTCAGTCCTACACTTAGAGTTGCAGCTGGAAGGGGACTCAGTCACTATAAAGAGGGGTGTTTTTTGAGGTGGGGGAGAGGGGAGGGGCTGAGGCGTGGGGAATGAGTGTTGGGGCAGGGCTGGGTTTGGCCTCTAACCTTTACAGCCAGACCCCCCTGTGCTGTCCAGATCATCAGTGAGGAGCGGTTCCGGCAGCTGGAGAAGATCAAGACGATTGGCAGCACCTACATGGCTGCCTCCGGGCTGAATGCCAGCACCTACGATCAGGTGGGCCGCTCCCACATCACTGCCCTCGCCGACTATGCCATGCGGCTCATGGAGCAGATGAAGCACATCAACGAGCACTCCTTCAACAATTTCCAGATGAAGATTGGTGAGAGGGCCTGGCTGTCTGCCAGGCTTTCCCAGGACCATTTCTGGGTGGAGCTGAGGGAGCAGCTAGGGATGGGATTCTCCATCAGGTGCCTTTGGGGTTTCCTCCCTCAGGCCTCCTGTATCAAACCGAGTCTGATAGTAAGAACAGAGATCATTTATTGAGGGCCTACTATGTGCTAGGCACTGTCCTAGACACTTTTGAGCACATTTGAATCCTCACATTCTTAATATCCCCTTTTACAGATTAAAAAAGGAGCCCTGGTGGCGCAATGGTTAAGTGCTTGCCTGTAACCAAAAGGTTGGCAGTTTGAACCCACCAGGACCTCTGCGGGAGGAAAGACCTGGAGCTCCGCTCCTGTAAAGATTGCAGCCTAAGAAGCCCTATGGGGCAATTCTGCCCTGTCCTATGGGGTTGCTGTGAGTTGGAATCGACTCGACGGCACACAACAACAACAGATACAGAGACTGACTGTCAGGGAGAGTCAAGTAACTCACCCAAAATCAGCTAGTCAGTGTCTGAGCTGAGATTGGAAACCAGGTTTATCGAAACTCCAGGACCTGTGCACTTATCTACAGCCAGTCTGATAAGAAGTACTTCCTTTCCGATGAACTGGAGGATAGTAAATAACAATATTAATAAATTAAGAATATTAATAACAGTAACTACTGGAATAGTTAATAATAGCATGGGTTCTGGAGTCAAACAGTCTGGGTTTGAATTTTGGCCACTCTACTTACTGGCTAATTCAGCAAGTCACCTAATTTCCCTAAGCTTCCGTTACATTATATCCAGCTATTCATCTCTAAGTCCCTGGGTGGCACGAATAGTTAAGCACTCAACTACTAGCTGAAAGGTTGGCCAAAGATTGCACCCAGAGGTGCCTTAGGAGACAGGCCTGGTGATCTGTTTCTGATCACAGCCTTGAAAACCCTATGGAGCATGGGGTCGCCATGAGTTGGAAGTGACTCGATGGCAACTAACAACAACAGCCATCTGTAAAGTGGGGATGATAGTATTTCCCTTGTAGGACTGTTGTGAGGATGAAATAATGTGGCTGGCACAGGGCGAACATCCAGTAGATTAGTCACTATATGGAATAGCTGTCTTGACTCAGGAGCTCCTCAGCCGATGTACCCAGATCTTCCATTCGTAACAACTAGGAGACTGGCTCTTTTCTGCTTTCTCCTCTGGGTCCTTCTCAAGGTGCCAGGAGGTGTGATGACTCCCTGGGCTAACTCTGAAGTGTCCACCAGTCTCACCTTCTTGTTACTCTTCCTACCTCAGGATTGAACATGGGCCCAGTTGTGGCAGGCGTCATTGGGGCTCGGAAGCCACAGTATGACATCTGGGGGAACACAGTGAATGTCTCTAGCCGTATGGACAGCACAGGGGTCCCTGATCGAATCCAGGTGAGGGGGATATGGGTGAGGCTGGGAGAGGTACAGGTCCAGAGGGTGTCCACAGGGCCTTCTTTTCGGTCAGCTAGGGCAGGCAGGGGCAGGGTGGCAGTGTTGTGTGGCTGGAGAGGTAGGATTGGGGGAGGGGAGCTCACATGACTAGATAAGTCCTGGGCCCCTGCAAACACAGCAGGAAGGAATCCAGGCTAAACGGGCTCCCCTCCCACCCCCCCAGGTGACTGCGGACCTGTACCAGGTTTTAGCCTCCAAGGGCTACCAGCTGGAGTGTCGAGGGGTGGTCAAGGTGAAGGGCAAGGGGGAGATGACCACCTACTTCCTCAATGGGGGCCCGAGCAGTTAGCAGGGCCCAGCTGCAAATTCAGCAGAAGGGACCAAGGTGGGCATTGAGCAGGCTTTGTGCTTGCTGGTGCAGCTGTGGCGGGGGCCCTGGACCTTCCGACCCTGCCAACCACGGAAGGGAAAACCCCAGCCAGCTGTGCTCATACCACGCTCATCTGCCCTCAGCCTGGTGAACGAGGGGATACCAAGAGGATTATGCAAGTGACTTTCTTTTTTAATTGGGGCAGGGCTGTCCCCTCTCGTTTCTTCCAGTTTTTGGGTCCAGAGGAGCAGGTGGAAGTAGAGGCAGGAGGAGCCCTCCTCTCGGAGAGATTGATTAAAATGGCAGTTTGCCATGCCTGCCCCTCCCTGTCTATCTGGGCAAGAGGCTCAGGGCTGGGCCCTTCCTTTCCCTCTTTTTTCTGGGAATATTTTGTACAAAGTCTAGGGCAGGCATGCAGAGTGCCTATTCCATGCTTGCCTTTGCTAAGCCTGCGACCCCAGCACCGGTCCTGGGCACCCCGCCCCAGCCAGGTCTCCTTCCTAGTTCCTAGGCACGGGCAGAGGAGGGAGATGTTCTCGGGGACCCAGCTCTGCCCATATTTCAGAGGAATGTTTCCATTTGCCAAATCCTCATCCCATGATCTGTCCCCAAAGGGGAACAAAGGGACTTCGGACAGCTCTGATTTAGCCCCAGTTCCTACACAGCTCCAGGGAATGGGGCGTCTGGTCTCATTGGTACTGTGAAAATACCTGGCTGGAGAGCCAGGGCATGTGTGGGGTTGTCAGAAGATCAGGAGCTGGAAGTTCACCTGCAGGTGCCAAAGAGAGCAGGCTGGCTGGGGAGAGGGGTGGTGCCAGCTCTGGTGGGCCTGGCACAGTCAGGATCAGGGCACTCTGCCCCAGCAACTTGCTGTCTGCTGGCACGGGGGCACACAGCATCTCTGTCCCTTCCATTGCCAAATAGAAAAGGGTCAGGGCATGGAGCAAGATGACCCTGATCCCAAACCTGTCCTCCCCAGTCTGGCTCTGGGGAGGGCCTGTGTGTTTGTGTATCTGTGCGTGCATGTTGGTCTTTGTGTGCGTATCTGTTTTCCAGGTCTGTATGTGTCCTTGTGCTCCTGCTCCTCAGCCATCCACCTGGTTGCCTCTCTCTTGTGGGCCTCTGTCTTTCGGGAATAAGACAGGGCTTCCTATTTCCAGGGATGGAGAGACATGCCCAGGTTGCACAGGAGTGGGACGGGGTGTGGTAGCAAAAGGAGGGTGGTTCTGGGGAGAGGAGTCCTTTTTGTGCCAAATCCCTAAGTGCCGTTTGGGGGCCACATGTGCAGCATGACTGTCTCCCCGTCTGGGGCAGGAACCCAAGCGCCTGCTTCAGCCCCAGCACTCCATGCACTTGAACTGCCTGGGGTTTGGTGGGCAGGGGCTCCAGAATTTCCTGGGTTCCCCAGCTTGTGTCTGGGGATATGGTAGGATTTGGGACTGAGGTAGCATGGGATACCTCTGAGGACCCAGATATTGGTACTAGAGGATGGGCAGAGGAATCTTGAACTTTGCCTTCCTCAGCCTTCAGCCTGAGTCTAGTATGTCCCCGGCCCCCCAAGTGAAGCCTGCAAGGGCTGGTGGAAGGGCTAGGAGGGTGGATTCTAGATTCCCTTCCTATCCTTGCCTTCCTTTTACCCCTTTCCCCAAAACCTCCTTGGCTCTGGCCTGAATTAAGTTGGTGCCTTGGTTTCTCTGTCTGAACCTATTTAAGCCAGAGGCATTAGCCTAATTTTTGCTTGGAGATTGCTTTGTTTTGGAGGTGACTAGAGAGGCAGAGGAGAGAGGGTCCCCAGAGTTGCTGGGTTTGGGGAATGGAAGGGTCTGGTGATTCTCTTGCCCTTCCTCATGCCCCTTCTGACTCCAGCTCCCTGCAGAGGCCTGGTTTCTGGTTCGGTAATGCCTGCCTTGGGGAGTCTTCCTGCATCAATCAGTGGGGCACCAGGCACTTCATTAGTCAAGGCAGGAGGAGGGGAAAAAACGAGTTGGTCCAGACAGAAAATCAACTCTCCTTCCCCTAGCCATATCCCTGGATAGGAAGGGACTGCTTGGCGTCATGATGGGAGTAAGTAGACTAGAGTGGGAAGACCTCAGCCTTGGGTGACTTGTCTTTGCTTCTTGCCAGGTGGGAGGGGCCTGTCCACACCCTGGCTCCCCGCACCACAGTGCCAGCCATGCCCTTCTCCTGGGCTACCATTGCCCTCTTCCTCACCAGTAGGTGGGAGTTAGGGGATGGGAGGCCCATGGGCTTTGGTTTTATAATGTAACCACTGTGGGAGGGGGGAGGGTGGTGTACCATGTATTTCAGTGAAATATTTAATATATTTAAATATCAATAAAATCAAACTCTTTGTAAAATTCTCTGTTCTCCGCAGCTGTTCTGGGCCCCAGGTTGGGTAGAAGTGGTAGAGCCTGGTGGAGGAGGTAGCCTCCAGCCCCAGGGCTCTGTGGGCCTTTCTTGTCGGTCGTCAGAGGGCTCCCTCTGGCTCTCTCCTGCCAAGGTGAAGTTGCAGTGTCTTCAGGGAGCATGGCTACTCTAGGCCCTTCAGCCTTGTGAGGACCCCCTGCTATGCATGAGGTCAGGACCCCTCTGGGGTGGTCTTTCCAGTGCCCAGCTCCTCCCAAACCTCTTACACCAAGGTCTGGCTCCTATAGGAAACTCTCATACCTGCTCTCACAGAATACTCCCCTACACATACCTTCTAGTACACACAAGTGACTTCTAGTCGAATCTGTTTACTGTGCTTTCTGGATCCCCTCCTCTCTTTAGTCAGCCATTTGGACCAGAGTACCCTCTCCCTCTTTCCCCCTCTTTATACTACTGCCTCCACAGTCCATCTTGTCCTTCTGCAAACATATCCTGCTTAATACAGACTGAAGAGTCTGTCATTGAGAATAGAGTGATCCATAAACCTGGAAAGGAGAGAGAAGGTATCAGATTCAGCCAGGCGAGGCTGGAGTTGGGGGAGGGTCCCCCAACATAGCCCCCAAGACTGGCCATGAGGCAGGTGGGCAGGGGTGGTGATGGGGAAGTAGGGCGACTGCCAATGGATGGTGGTTGGAGAGGGTGGGGAGGCAGTCATGAAGAGAAGGTAACAAACCCAGGCTCTCACAGGATGCTGTAGACACTTGTGTCTGCTCAGAAGTCTTACACACAGGGAACACACAAAGACAGACAAGTCTTTAACTCCTGAGAGCCACTACAGCCTAGATTCTGGTGCCAGCTTTTCCTGGTAATGCCCGAACCTCTCCTTCTGTTACCTAACTCTGAGCAGAGATGAAACCATCTCTAAGGATTAAGTGAGGGGAGGTGGTACTTCCGTTGGTCTTCCCATTCCAACCCTTCCCAGCCTAACCTGGTCATTGGGCTTTTAATGAGACAGTGGTGGGGGTTCTGGATCCATGGCATGGTTTCCTCTGGGCGCACTCCTGGATCATGGGACCGCCAGAAGCTGAAGTTCTGGGCATCAGTCAAAGGAACTCTGAAGACCTGATTGGGGACTGAATGGATTAGAGAATGGGCAGGTTACTGAATTCCTTCTAGTTCTCTGCACCCTTTACTGCCACAGAGCAGCACAAACCCAGGCTAGTAACTGGGCCTGACCAGGTGCTGCGAGGTCCTGGGAATGTGGTCGCCACCCGCTGCTTCACTTTCGGATTCATCTCACACCCTTCAAGATCAGATGAATCAGCCTTGGTTCTTCCTACTGCTACAAGACAGCTTTTCCCAAGTGCTAAGATGGTGGAAAAACAAGTGGTAAACCCAGTTGCGAAATGTGCAAAATGGCATTCACTGGTTCATTCTTTTTCTTTTTTTTTTTGGCTGGGGGCTTACTCTTCCTCTGTCCCTTCCCTCCTCTCTGAAATAATGCCTGCCTTTGCACATTCCAGGTTGTTCGAAACTCAACAATGATACCAGCTCACATTTGTCTACTGCTAATGGATAGCATTTGTCAAGTGCCTCTCATGTTCTAGATGATGTATTAGATGATTTTTAAATTTTAAAATAATATCAGACTTACCTAGATGCTTTAAAAAATATTTTTACTATTTATTTGGATTAATCTAATTATACCAGTGTCTAAAATTTATACATATTTTTTTCACTTAGAATTACAGCCTAATATTCTGGCTTGCTATATAGTCTCTATAACCATTATTTAAAAAAAAAAAAAATCCTAATATTCCACTGAGTTGTTGTCGTTAGGTGCCATCGAGTCATTTCCAACCCACAGCAACCCTGTGTACAACAGAATGAAACACTGCCCGGTCCTGCGCCATCCTCTTTATTGGGGCTATGTTTGAGCCTATCGTTGCAGCCACTGTGTCAGTCCATCTCGTTGAGAGTCTTCCTCTTTTTCGCTGACCCTCTACTTTACTAAGCATGATGTCGTTCTCCAGGGACTAGTCCCTTCTGATAATGTGTTCAAAGTATGGAAGACAAAGTATTGCCATCTGTCCTTCTAAGGAGCATTCCGGCTGTCCTTCTTCCAAGACAGATTTGTTTATTCCGTCCATGGTATATTCAGTATTCTTCATGAACACCATAATTCAAAGGCATCAAATGCATATGATGCAAATGAAAATACCGTGGCTTGAGTCAGGTGCACGTTAGCCCTCAAGGTGTTCATCTTTCGGCACTATATCAGACAATATTCCGCAGCTATTCGTAAGTTTTTCACTGGCCAAATTTTTTAGAAGTAGACCACCAAGTCCTTCTTACCAGTCTGTCTTAGTCTGGAAGCTCTGCTGAAACCTGTCCACCCTGGGTGACCCTGCTGGCATTTGAAATACTGATGGCATAGCTTCCAGCAACACAGCAATACGCAAGCCACCACAGTACAACAAACTGACAAGTGGTGGATTCCATTGAGCAGATGTTATATTTTTGACTTAGCTGTTTTCCTAACGATAAGGTTTTAAAAAATTTGCTATTAGATAACCATCTTCACGCACATGCCTTTTAAAAATTTCTGAAAATATTTTTTTAATTAAACTTTTCATATAATTATATATTCACATGCAGTTCAAAGAAATAATCTAGAGAGATCCTGTGTACCCTTTACCCATTTCTCCCCAAGGGTAATACCTTGTAAAACTATAGTACAATATCACAGCCCAGCTACTGACACATTGATATGGAACAGTTCCATCAGCACAGGACCCTCACCTTGTCCTGTTATAGCCACACTCACCTCCTCCACCCATCCTGGCCCCACCTTGGCAATCAACAATCTGTTCTCCATTTCTATAATTTTGTAATTTAAAAAATGTTATATAAATGGAATTATACAGTATGCGACCTTTTTTGGATTGGCTTTTTTCACACAGCATAATTCTCGGATATTCAGCCAAGCTGATGCCTGTATCAGTAGTTTGTCCTAGATGCTTTCTTAAATGTATATTTTCTCCGACTTTCACACAATGCTAGACTATTATTCCCATTTCAGATGGTTCAGAGAGGTTAAGTGGTTAAAAACAACGTTCCCAAGGTCACACAGCTAGCTGGGCTATAGGTGGAGTTTAAACTTAGTTCAGTCAAATTGAGAAGCTAGTGCTTGGTTTACCATTCCTCACAGAAATAGCAAATGATAGTTCACAAAGTACTTTCCTAAATTATCTCATTTTTGATGTGATCCTCACAGCAATCCTGTGAGACTGTAGAGCAGGCATTTCTCTCTCTCTCTCTCTCTTTTTTTTTTTTTTACTTTTACAAATGAGGAAGCTGGTTAAATAAGAATAAGTGATTCACCTAAGGTGAGACATCTAAAAAGAGGCAGATACAAGAGACACACCATAAACTTAAAGACACAAACAAAACAAACCTCAAAGGATGGAAAAAATATATATCAAGCAAGCAACACTCAAAAAAGAGCAGGAGTGGCAATATTAATCTCTGACAAAGTAGAATTTAAAGTAAAATCCACCACAAAGGATAGGGAAGGACACTATATAATGATTAAAGGGTCACTACACCGGGAGGACATAACTATAATAAATATTTATGCATCCAATGACAGAGCTCCAAAATACATAAACTCCAACAGCACTGAAAAGAGAGAGAGACAGCTCCACAATAGTAGTAGGAGTCTTCAACACCACTTTCGGTGAAGGACAGAACATCCAGAAAGCTCAACAAAGACACGGAAGAGCTAAATGCTACAATCAACCAACTTGATCTCATAGACATATACCGAACACTCCACCCAACAGCAGCCAAGTA